AGACAGAAAGCGAGAAATCACCCCCCAGGGGGGATGGTCACGCCGCAATCCCTTCTCCTCCATTCTCCTCTCAGGATCTTGGGCACGCACGCACACACGCCCGGCGTGAGATTTAAGCCACCGGGTCCGAGACGCGAACCGCGGTCGACTACGTGGGAGTCCAGCGACATAGCCATTACGCTAACTGCTGGTTCCCAAGTGGTGGCAGTTTTGTGATGTTTAAAAAACCAATTTGTGGGACCAGCAGTTAGCGTAATGGCTATGTCGCTGGACTCCCACGTAGTCGACCGCGGTTCGCGTCTCGGACCCGGTGGCTTAAATCTCACGCCGGGCGTGTGTGCGTGCGTGCCCAAGATCCTGAGAGGAGAATGGAGGAGAAGGGATTGCGGCGTGACCATCCCCCCTGGGGGGTGATTTCTCGCTTTCTGTCTGTCTCTCTCTGTCTGGTGAGCGCACGCGCCCTATAGCAAAAACCTCTCCAAAAAAAGAAAAAAAAACAATTTGTCTCACCCCTGTTGTCAGAGTTGGGTCTGCTGCGGCATTCAAGTTCCCTGTGATGTCTCCCAGGTCTGCGGACACAGCCCCGTGTTACTCCTCACGTTGCCTTTTGTGTCTTCTTCCCACGCCCTTCCTCAGTCCTTCTGGAAGCATCTCGCTTTTACTGATCTCTTTGGAGAGCCAGGCCTTGACTTCACTGCTTTTCTCTGCTGTTTCCTGTTCTCATTCTCAGTAAGTTCTGTTCTTCCCTTTACTATTCCTTCCCTCCTACTTGTCTGGGGTTTATTCTGCTCTTCTTTTCCTAGATTCTTGAGCTGGGGCCTCAGATGAGTGATTTAAGACTCCTCTCCTCATGTATGCTCTCAGTGCTATGAATTTCCCTCTCAGTGCTGCTTTTGCTGTGTCCTACACATTTTAATCTGTTGTGTTTTCATTTTCACCTCATCAGTACTTTGTTTTGTTTTATTTTGTTTTTTTGTTTGTCTTTAGTTTGCTATAGGGTATGTGCACTTGTTGGCAAAAGAGAGAGAGAGAGGGAAAGTGAGGAATCAGCCCCATTGGGGATGGCCACACCACAATCCCTTCTTCTCAATTCTCCTCTTGGGACTATGGGCATGCGCACACATGTGACTGGCGAGATTTCCAAGCTGCTGAGTTCAGAGCTCAAATCATGCCATCAGCTATGTGAGAGCAAGCTGTCTTTTCTTTTCTTTTCTTTTCTTTTTTGGAGAGGTTTTTGCTATAGGGCGTGTGCACTTGCCAGAAAGACAGAGGGAGACAGAAAGTGAGAAATCACCCCCTAGGGCAGATGGCCACATCGCAATCTGTTCTCTTCCATTCTCCTCTTGGGATCTTGGGCACGCATGCACATGCACCCGGTGTGAGTTTAAGCCACCGGGTCTGGGACTCAAACTGCGGTCGACTACATGGGAGTCCAGCAACACAGCCATTAAGCCAACTGCTGGTCCCAAGATCAAGCTGTCTTAACCTCCATTCCACCTGCTGGCTTCGACGTGTTTTTAAGTTTACCTGAAGACTTTCTCTTTCACCCATGCATTGTTTAGAAATGTTTTGTGTACATTCAAGTGTTTGCGGAAAGAATTCCATTATCTTTCTAACACTGATTTCTAGTTCGGGTCCATGTGGCAGGAGACCACGCAGTTTGTGGCACAAGCCAGCTGGCCTTGCAGCCATCACTGAAATCCACCATAAGACCCCTCCCAAACCTTCTCGATGTACCTCAGGCCCAGCCAGCACACCCTCTGGCCTAGGCGCTCATGTGGGGGTGCATGAAAGCCTTCCTAGGTCCAATCGTGGCATAAGCACTGATACTGTCCCCTTCAGGGACACTGGGGGAGGAGCCACTCTGAGAAGCTGGGACCACTGAGACCCTGGGGCAAAGCTAGTGAGCAGCATCCCCAGAGGCACTGCGATCTGGGGCAGGGAGTGGGACAGGTCAGGGACAGCTGCTGAGCGAGCCGGGCCGGGCGGCGGGGGAGGGGAGGAGCCCACCCGTATCTGACGGCTCAGGGCACGAGCCCAGTAGTTCATTCTTCACTGGGCGCACGACCTGGACGGAACTCTCCTGCAGCCGCAGCACCCCTCTGAACCGAGCAGTTTGCCAGC